CGGGCTCACTGCAGACCTCCTTGCACAAGTCGCTATGGCAGCGCTTCCGCATGGCTCACGCAGGAATGAATGAATGGCTGGGCGCTGCCTCTTGATTTATACTTCTGCAGCTCGATGGTCTGGCCCCTTTCCCATGCCCGAAGTGCACACAGTCCCATGCGGTACTTGCTTGACTGCATTAGACTGCCTAGGACTGGGACTGCTGACTCAGCACGGGCAGACTCCACCACTTTCCTCACCACTTGCCCACTTGCCTAAGTCTACACGTGGGCAACTTCGAAAGGCCACTACTGGGACCTTCTGGAAGGCCGGAGACTTGGCCTTTCGTGACTGTAGCAACTACGACTTGACCCTTCTGGACTGTAGCAGCTACGACCTTGAATCTTCGAGAAGACTACAGCTTCGACCTCCAGACCTGACTGGGACTCCTATCCGACAGACCTACAGATCGAACCCATGCTACCTATGGACCCTACAACAACCTACCGACTGCTACAAATACACAGGTCGTGGGTTCAACTCTATGGGTCGACACAGGTACTGTACACAGGTAAGGTGGGGGCTAGGGATCGAGCCCTGGGACCTGCATCAGCTACTGTGAACTGGTGAATACGGTTTCAAATGTAGGTTCAGCCAAGGATCCGCAATGTTATGAAAAGGACTGAATGGACAATGCATTGTTAGTGAAACATTAACAGGCAATGTACACCCTGATACATACAAAATGGCACATAATAGCGCAGCGGAAGACTTGGAGATAAGTCCTGACCTGAGGGGGACCGACACGGCATCCCATCATACATTCCCTCCTTGTACACGAACATGGAGAGAGAGCACGGATGTGAGATGGGGGAAGAGGAGAGACGAAGGTGGAGGCGAGGGAGAAGACCAAGATCGCAATGGCGATGTCCAAAATAGTCCCTTTTGCCGATGTCCAATCAATGTCTGCCTCAGAAATGTCGAATCAGATCCTGGGCAATGCGCCCACCGTAACCTCTGCCTGCATCCTCTGCTAGTAACCTCTCTCACTCTCGTATCTGAAGAAGAAGATGAAGAAGGAGGAAGGAGGAAGGAGGAAGGAGGAAGAGAGAGAGAGGAGATGGAGGACGAGGGGGAAGAGGATGATGCTTCCTCCTCGCTGTCTTACCTACCGGTAACTGCCGTACTAACAGTGGTTCGTCCTGTGCAGGTACCGCGCAGAGCCGTAGCTATGGCGCCAGGTAAGCTCGCCACTGCAGGTAAGTCGTTGCTCCCTCTCTCTACCTCATGCGCCTCTCCTCCCTAGCTCAGCAGCACAGCGCTAAGTAGCGCAGCCTCCAACCAGCAGCGTGTCGCTCAAGAAGTGAGCTTTCGAACTGTCCAGTACCCAGTGTGAGGCCCAGCTATATACTGCGCTGGGCCCTACTGGGTAGGCTGCTGTGTGGCCTAGAACGGCCCAGCCGGTCTGGGCCCCTACCGGGTGTCCAGACCGTGCTGCTGATGCAGCAAGGCGCGAAAACACGCCTGGCCTCGGAAAGGCCTGGTCCCGGTGTACCTGGCCCAAGGTATTGCCTTGGGGCCTGTGGGTCCGAAACGTCGTCTGTACCGACGAAAGTAGGCCAGCAGTCAGGCGCCAAAATGCGCCTGGCTCTGGAAGGGCCTCGTTCCGGTGTACCTGGCCCAAGGTGCTGCCTTGGGGCTGCAAGTCCGCAACGGTGCCTGAACCGACAAAAATAGGGCAGCACATCACAGAAGTAATAAAAAAATAAATAAGTGAGTGAGTGCTGCCTCACCCTATACCTGCGGCCTAGAGGGCCGTTGTGGGCCTCCAGGGAGCGCGCTGGATGGCGTGCAGCCTGGGGCCCCCAGCCCGCAACGGTGCCTGAACCGACAAAAATAGGGCAGCACATCACAGAA